ATGATGTGTATGTTAATGTGTATCTGTCTGTATGCAGTGATGTGTGGATGGGTGTTGTGAGTGTGTTATGCAAGCACTTGTATGTTCATGATTTTGATTATAAAAATATTAATGTAATTTACCTTATTGTTTTAGGGTCATGGATGTTGCCCGATGTTGTACAGTGTGGATGACATTGGAAAGCTGACTTTTGTAACAAAGTTGGATGTTGCACAAAAGAAGGAGACTGGAAGCCTTAGGTAAGGATAATTTTCTTTGCCATTTCATATATATTTGTTTTCTATGATGCATCTATATCCACAGGAAAGAGTAGTGAATTTTATTATATTCATCTTTTGAAGTTTCAAGAATTATATAAAACAAATTTAGTAGAATCTTCAAAATGTAGATATTCTGCTACTTATAATGCATCTTGTTTTGAAAATGGAACATGAACAACATGTCTAATTTTGTAAGAAAAAAAATGATAATATCCAAAGTATAAAGATGTAATGCTAACCATGAATAAGCAACTGTGATATGAGGATTCACCAAGAAACAAAGTACTACTATTTTAAAGATGCTCAAAGAATCCTAAAATAGCATCATACAAGTTTTGGAAGGACGCATATAGGATTAGTTTTACGATTGATAAGTTGCTAAGAAAGATGAGTGTATGTGAATAATAAGAATTACAGATTTTATGATGTTGAAAGTGCTTTTTTAAAATTACAGCTTGTCTCCATAATATATATTTGGTTCAAGGCACATCAGAATAGCTTAGATTATATAAATATTTTTCTAAATTATTATTACTTAGATTCCAAATTTTTCTTTGATACATAGAGAAGTGAATCCCATTGAAAGGTAAGATGTTGGTAAGCTGGTTGTGAATTGTACTGTACATGGTTAAACTTGGAAAGACAAATTAGAGAATCCTCATAGTAAATGAAACCAAGTTGAATCCCAAAATTTTGTTTTTTGGCATATTCGAATGTTGAATGTTGGCAAGGCAGTTAGGTTTCTAAGACTACGTGTCAATAGTTGTTCCGTAATTGAATAATGTGACTTGCATAGAACTTAGATGAGGTGGCACTAGAGTGGCTAATTTTTGTATAGTAAAATAAGTGCTAGTTGTTGGTGACTGTTGTACGTTTTAGGTCTTTTCCCCAGATGAGTAATAAGCCAGATTTTTCTTTTTCTTTTTTTCATCTTTTTTTAATTTATACCTTATATTATTTCTAAGATAATATCTTTGTGATTGTTATCCTTTATGTTTGTTGTTGCAGTAGTACAACTAGCTTTACCATTCTACTCTAATTTCTTTTTATATATTTTACTTTTATAGTCAACATTTTCCATTTATTTTTTGCATATATGTATCCAATAATTTGTTTTAGATAAAACTGGAAAGAGTCAGTTCAAGTATTTTAAAGAATCAAAAATATTTTCCTTTTGCACTTACAATAATTATATTAAAAATAAAAAAGTATTTGCAGATGCCAAAAAACAAAATACCTTTATTTGCCTAAAATCACGTATTGAACGTATTTGATTCATAGATGTTTTGACTGTAAATTGTAAGTGATTTTTTCTCTGACCATACTTTCATCCAAGAGTAAGTCTATAGATCATACCAGAAGCCATACGTATTAAGTGATTGCTTTAACTCAGAAAGCTACAAATTTACAAAAAAAGAGGAACAAAACAATTTTAAGCCATGTGGTTCCAGGTTCAAAATGCACATTTGATACACTGAATGAATTCTAGGTTTAGAAGTGATAGACAGTGTTTAAGTGAAATGATAAATTTGTGTAATGAGTTATGGGTAATGTTAATTTCAACTAGCTTTTACACATTTTGCAGGTGTAAAATGGAACTTAATTTTTGTATAGGTTTTTTCCTCCAAGGTTGCTGGGAGATTTTTAAGATGATAGCTGATGTATTGCAGACATTTTCCACTGCTGTGTGATTTTTTAAAACAAAGATTTTCCCCCTACAGCAGCTGCAAGATTTTTTGATTTTGATGTGAAAGATGGCCAACATTTTCATCTAGGAAAAAAAACATCCATATATAATTTCAAAATATTAGATATTAGTGCTACACACACATACACATACACATGCATACAAAGTAGAAATACTGGAATAGATGTTTCTCATCTATGTTTTGATTGATGTGGCAGATTCTCTTATTTCATAGTTGCTAGATACTTCTTTCTTCACTGGCTATCTAGCTCAATCAACTGGTCTTGCTGTATATGACTTATGCACGCCAGGAGAAATAGTTTGAAAATGTGTGTACTTTGTGTAGATTTTTTTTCCTCACATTGTATTTGTTATTCAGTGTTTGAATTTTTACTATTAGTATTCATATCTTTCTATTTTTCTAGTCATTATAAAATAGATTTAACATGAGAGTTGTTAAACCTGGAATTTTCATCCCATCTGTTTTTCATCACTTTCTTTTTAAGTATAATTTTATATCATTAAGTTATGCTCTACCTATAAAAAAAGTCTTTGTAGTATCAGATTGTAGGGAATGATAAAGAACTTGACAATGTGGTATAGTTACACATCAGTTAATCATTTATATAATTTTTCATGGGATTTTGAAAGGCACATTGCTCATAAAGATTTGCTATCTACTTATTTTTTTCTTAAATTGTCAACAGTGCCATGAAGAAGTTCCAGTCTCTTGACCGCACCGCTCGCTCTGACCAATCAGACACAACCCTGGCCACTGTTCATCAGAACACCATTACTGGCCTGGCCATCTTCTCTGGTGACAAGAGTGGAGCCAATGCCATTTCAACCTGTGGAGCGGACTCTCAACTTGTTATCTGGAACTTTAAGGTGGGTTAAAAACGGCAAGTGTTGAGACAAGAATGATATCTGTTTTTAAATGTTCCTAATTTTCTGTAGGGGAGGGGACAAGGAAAGAATCTAAATAAAACCTTTTAAAACTATTCAAAAGCAAAATTAGCCTGTATTGACATAGGGTTGAAATGGTTATAAAGTTAGTTCTTCTTTTCAGATTCTTTTATTTTGAATTGTCCATTTATCTACTAAATAATTATTGTATTTCATTTATCTTTCATTCACAGTCCTTGGAGCAGTCCCTTGGAGATCTACACATGAACTAAGTCCATGCCGAACATGTGCCATATCCAGTTTATATTCAGATGTTGCTGTTTGGTCTTGCAGTCAAAGGAGATGATTTAAAAAATGAAGGAATTGCTGGAAATATTCAAATATGATGATTGTGTGATTTTGTTGGAATTTTGTAGATTGAATTTGGAACAATTATTTCCTAATCCAGTTGTGATTCCATTCCAATTGCTTGAGAATTTTTTACAAGTGTTTGTTTTTAATGTGTTAATGAAGCTAATTTACCTAAATATAAAATGAAGTCAACTATTAACTGTTATTACAACAAGTACCTCCATTGTTTGACCAGTGTTAAGTAAAGCATTCCAAGTAAAAAAAAAATAAAATAAAAAGAGGAAATTGTGTTTACTTGATTTCTGTCCATGTGTATTTCATCCTTCACTTCCATTATGACAAAAACGTATTTTGTCATTAATCCTCAGATCAATAATATTTCTTTGCCAGTTTTCTGAGATTCATGTTGTTTCTATATTTTTATTGATCTGAAAACCATCTTATATTATTATTCATCCCCTTATGGTATGGTCATCAAAGAAGTTGCTAAAAGTGAAAAATTTCACTATAGCAAAGACCATGTATCCAAGATTAAGAGGGAAAATGAATTTGACAAGGTTTGGGGAACATAACAGATACCTGTTCCTAGAGTTGCAAAGTATTGTCAAATGCAGTTTTCCTCCACTTAGAAATTTCTATACAAAAAAGTATTGCTTACTACAGGGGTTCCCAACCTGGGGGTAACAGGGTACTTTCTGAGGGGTCATGGAACAACATGAAAATTATGATGTCAAATTAAAGTGAATTTTATATATATATCTCACATATCAATGTATTGGAATCTTTCCATGAAGTGTTTCTGTCCTGTAGCATTTGATATCATTATACTATTCCCAAGTAATAACTGAATCTGAAAAGATGAGAAACAATGGGGCAATTGAGATAACTATTTTATTTTTTTGGACCACAGAATGAAAAAGGTTGGGAACCAATGGCTTTCTGCAAGAAATTAATGCAAAACTTTCTCTAATGGTACTGACCCCACCTAATACTGACAAATATATGAGTACAGCTATTAGCAGTAGCAATATTATGAGTACTGCATTGCTGTTAGTTTTGAAGCGTTTTTCCTAGTAGTTGTAGTAATTACTTTTCAGCTAAAAAAATATGTGGTATGTATCAACTGCATGTTACTAGCTTTTAATCAGCTGAGAGTGACAGGAATATTCTCATTCTAAGGAAAGCCTTTCCTATGATACAGGTAGTGTAATACAAATAAAAACTAAAGCAAAGGAAGGTATGGGTCACAAAATGTATTCCTCAAAAGCAACAATAAACTAAGCTAAGGATCTATAATACTTGCACTCATGAAATGCCTGAGAATTTGTTAATGCTATTTCCTTAAAGTAATGAAGAACTATACTTTAAAAACTAAAGCTACTATTAACATAGTCATATTATGATTAATATTAAACATCTGCTGAAGTGAAAACCATATATAAATAACACCACGTGTCCAAGAAAAAGAATATGAGCCATATAGTTGTATAGTTTCAAATTAAACTAAGGGGAAGCAGTGCATTAGCATAGAGACTCTTTGCACTTTAAACCAGGTTTCCTTACACAAATATCCTAATGTAATTACAGAATTCATCCTGAAACTTTGCTTCTCTTGTACATCAGTCTGAAAGGAGGTATTTGCTTTGAAACTAATTGGTTATCTGATACTATCATGATTTGATTTGAAAAAGGATTTGAAATAGTATAGGTAAACAATTTCTGGAGACATAAGCATCAAGATTAATAACAATCTTTTTCAATATATGTTTAGCACTGTAATAAAGGAAACTAACAAATATGGGGACAATCAATTAGTTTATTTCACAAGATTAAACCACACTTTTCATGAGTACATATCTGAAGAGAGCCACTCCATTTCACATGGAAAAGTACAAAGAATGTAATTAATCTCAAATTTCCAAAATAATAATGATGAATGAAATGTATCAAACATCAGGAACTACAACTTGAGTCATTCGTCACAGCTCTAACACAGAGTAACTTTGTTCTGATATTGTGCCCAGTCCTTTGATGGGTGCATTGGAGGAATCACCCAATTAATGGGAATGGACGAGGCAAGGGGCGTGTTGTCCTCTGTACAGTACCGGTCCCATTCAAACCTGATGAATGAAAGTGGCCAAAGATAAGTAAATAAGCAATTAAAGAATGAAGCAAAGTTTTAAAGCCTTCAGTTTTAACGCCCTCAGAGGGCATCTACAGCATACATGCCCTGTCCAGAGGGTTTTAGTTTAATGATTTTGTTTACACAGTTGGTTCCAATAGTACTTAGTCTCTAAAGCATCAGCTATGAGGCCTACTTGATCTTTTCTGTTTACTTGGACTTTTAGAAAGGAAAGGTTTTATTTTTACTGCTATTTTGTTAATGTTGTTAATAATGATAATAACTTTAATTATTAATTGTATTAGAAATAAAATCTTTTACATGAAAATTCAAGGACTGCTGTTCGTAGGCAAGGTTAGCTAGGCCAAGTAAGTGAATCTTCTTTGACTAGGCACTTAAACCATTTATGAGTAACAATAAAAATACAGAGGACTGCATGTACCTGGTTTCAATGGATTAATAATGGAGATAACACCTCCAAATTTTTATTTTGAAACAATATTCAATTGACAAAATCAAATGATTAAAAAAAAAAAAAAAAAAAAAATCCATACAGTTGATACATTGTAACAATCAGAAAATCTGTCCTCAATCAATCTGTCCTGACCAAAATATTAGTTATAAAATATAGATCTCGATACTAACAGCATGAAGAACCCTTTTTGATTTTCTGAAATTTCAACCATACTTTTGAGCACAAGACTCAAGGAAATTCTATAAAATAAATAACCATATAAATCTGACGCGTTTAGAGAGAAGATCAATTACTTATATAAAACCAACAAAAATTCAAGGTTAAACTAATGCCTTAACTTTGAGGTGACATCCTGTAACAGCATGGCTGACCTTCCCACAAATGAGGATAATAGCCTCTCACTTCATGCCCAATTGAGCCTGCTCCACATTATGCTCACTAAATAGGATTTTTTTTTTTTTTTTTTTTTTTTTTTGGCCCTGGTGCCAGTAATTGAGCAGTCCATCAAAAGTAGGCTTATAAATATTTTTTAGCTTCACTATCTAAACAATAATTGTATGTGCTACAGCTAAGAGCACAGAGCCTATGTTCCCAGTTTTTTGCTCATAAAAAGATAACAAACTGAAACTGTGACTTTCTTGCCATACAATTGTGTTTCTTTTGAGCTCTCCCCCAGGGGAATCATTGCCCCTCTTTCAGAAACTGGATAATTGTATAAAATATCTAAAGATTAGGGGGTTAAATAATCACTGTTCCTAAAAATGAGATGAACATGGTTTCCTATTCGGGTAACATTATCCCCTAAAAAAAAAAAAAGACAAAATATTACCTTAACATTTTTTTCTCTCTCTTCTTTTTTTTGAATAATGAAATTGGAAAGATATTTAAAGTTAAGTTATTTTCACTATTATCATTTATCTACTGCAATAATCTCATGTATGAAAAGAAAACTCAAACTGTGTTCCATGCAAACTTGTTGCAATCCAATCAGTGGGTTGATTTGCTATATAAAGTAAAATGCAAAAGGAACCATTTTAGAATCATATTTTTTGTTTCTCAGGTACTATTCCTAAATATATGTAATACCTTGATATGTACTTAATACTTTAGTGACATTTATATGGAAAATAATAAACATTATAACTAGTGATACTTTTTGGGGGAATGACCTGGCCAACTGACCTCTGTGGAATATTTTTTTCATATACATGCAATGTAACAATAACAGAACAATCATTGAAGTAATTCATTAAAAGAAGAATATTTTCAACTGAAAATGTCAAACAATGGATGATAGTAACCAGTTAACAGAGTTGAGATGGAGTAACTTTTTGTTGTTTTATTTTTATTAATTCTATGTACTTATTGCTTTGTAAACTTCATAAAAGATGTACAGGCTAATACATATGACCAGAAACTCACATGCAGGCTCTAATAATTGAATTCCCTGTCAATTATCTTTATATTTTTCTTACATAAAAATCCTGAAACAGAGTTACAGTAACACCTGTTACTCAATGAAGGAAACATTCTGGCCCAATTGTTTATAGGGAGCTTTTCTATTCACAAGTATGAAACTACCCTAAACACATTTATGACCATGGGAATTCATGCCCTAAATGATTGTCCCATTCTAGTGCACATTCAGAACATATGGTTCCAAAATATTTACCTTCTTTGCAAAAGTATTTCCCAATTGTTGTCCGCAGCAGTAAACTCCTTCATTGTATCAGTGTTGATTGGAGTAAAGTCACCAAAAAGCAGCTTCCTCATTGCTGCCTCTCTTTTACTAACAACAGCATTTACCTCATTCCCTTACAACAGAAATAAAAAAGCAAAATTAGGATACATGTGCAGATGGAAGTCAATCAGTTTTAGCAAAGTGGGAAAGATGGAGAGAGGAGAAGAAAGGAGAGAAGAAGAGACGAGAGGAAAGATTGAGAGACAGATGGAGAGGCAAGAGAGATAAAGAGAGAGAGACATGAAACAAAAAGAGAAACACATACAGCCAGTTTGTTAAAATTGTGCTAGGCCCAACTCAATTAATATTCATATATACAGACATGCATATATACTGAAATAAGGCATATCTCTCTATCTATTTGATAGATATACATTTACTTAGCTATCTATCCAATAGATATGCATGTCTAGACTGACAGATATGTATTTATTTCTGTGTATAGGCAAGCCTGTTTAATGAATACTCATTTGCTCAGGCTTTGCACAATTTTAACAAACCGGTCGAGAGACAAGTTTAGAAGAGCGGGGAAGGGACAAGGAGACAAAGAGACAGCTAAAAAAAGACAGAACAAGTGAGAGTAACAATTATAATGCAACAGAACAAAGAAAGATACAAGTGAATAAAGTATATATAAAAAAAAATATATATATATATATATATATATATATATATATATATAATATATATATGTGTGTATATATACATATATAATATATGTATAATATAAAAAAACATTACCGTCAGAAGGTTTCTGGGCTGCACTTTCACCCATCATCACTCGAAGCGTTTGTTCCTCTAGCTGGTATTCCTTAACCTGAGTTGCTACCACTTCACTGATGCCTTCTACAAATTAGAAAACACAAAATAAGTTAAAATCTATGTTATGTCACAAGTTTAACGCTAAGCCACCAGGGATGGCATGTGTGTAAATGCCATGTCCACTGTGTTTACTTTAGTAATCGTTTTTACACTTGGATGGCTCTACACATACTAAGTCACCAATCAGTCAGTTATGAGTACTACCTGTCTCACCTGTTTACACTTTTTTTTTTTTTTTTTTGTTAAATATTTCCTGGCATCTAATATTGCAATTAGTAATGTCAATAAGACTATAGTATTTATGATGTCTATGATAGAAATAACAGTATCAATATTGACAGCATTAGTGGAAAAAAAAAAAAGTCCCACAAACTCAAGAAAAGCAAAATCAGGTGAGGTCACAAGCTCTATTAATTGACTCTTTTGTTGCAGATCCATCAATGTGCAGAGACATTTCGCAAAACAATAGTGCAGTGAACACAACATTTTGCCACAGGCTTTTCATTACTGATGTTTAGCGTTGTATTTCTATTAAATGTAAAATAGTTGTATTTACAGCATAACGTGATTGCACTTGATATAAGCTTAGAAAACAGAATGATTTACAAAATGCTACATAAAATTTGCAGATCACAGAAAGCATAATTGAAGAACTTATGCGGGTACATTTATCTGTATATTTTTATATGCTATCAGTATTAAATATCGCACATAAAACTCCTGAATATTAAATAAACGTATGGAATGAGAAAAGAGAAAACAAAATAATATGAGCAGCTACACAATGAATGAGTGCTGACTGTATGAAAAGAGAGAGGGTCCTAGGGGAAGGGGGAAGGGAATGACTGATAGTTTAGAAGGATATACAGGGAAGACTGCATTTAAGACGTTACCAAGACATATAGAATGTCCTGGGAGGTATAGGGGTAGGGGGATAGCTTTTTTTTTTTTTTTTTGCTTTAAGGCTCAAAAACTGATACTAGACAGTATTAAATATACTAGCTAACTGAGAAATTGAAAAATTAAGTCCACATGTCTCCATCTGGGTGCACTCACACATGCACTATAAATCTGGGTTCATATGCAGGGGTGAACAATGTGTACATGCATTCTCTACAACAAGCCCTCATTTATCCACATATTATTTAGTGAGTTGGAAAAATACATATTACCTTTGGTCACCACTTAATGTTATTAGTGAGGCAGATTCTGGATTATAGTGAAAATGATGATATCTATAATTACCCAAAATATTTTAGCCCCTACAATCTGGATGACTTGACCATCAAGTCGTAAAAAAAATTGGCTGTGGGCTGGGTTGATGCAAATTTGCTGTCTTGAGCATTTCAGCTGAAGGCTGGGGTTACAGAAATGACTCGCCACAAGTACAAAAACACTTGGAAGGCAATTAGACTCATTTGGCAAATTGGATAGGGCTTTATCTCTATTTCCCTCAATAAAAGAGTGTGGAATGTACTGTCTATGAGCCATGACTGGAAGAGTGCCTTCCTCCAGGGAGGATGTTTCCATGCTTAGGATCCTATTCCTGCCTGCAGGTTGTATTACAGGTTATGGAATATTATGAAGAAGAAGGAAAGACACTTATGCAGAAAAAGATAAATAACATTGCAAAGGGGAGGCATGGAATCTTGTCACTGCAAGAGTCTTCATGTGCACCCAGCCTATAAACCACACACCCATCAAAGTAGCTGCTTACGTAAGGTTATATAATCATTTCAATAAAATCTGATAGTTTTGTGTGGTACAACCTATTATAACATTTATAACATTGTATATAGCTATTTCTGCTAACTATTACCTTGATCAGGTTGAAAAAAAGTGACAATGCCATTGGTTCATGGAAAGGTGGACCTACAAGGGGAGGGTCATGGGTGAAGTTGATGACTCACTCATAAAGAAAAAAATCACAGGAAAAATGCCACTAGTTTTTGTCACATTTGTGGCTTACAGGACTGTGCATATTTTCAATAACTAGCCACAATTGTGGGATATAGGACTGTGTGGTTAATATGAATATTTCTTTAACTCAGTGATTCAAAGATAAAAGAATTTGAAGGTGATTTATATACTAGTTTTTGTCGAGTTATAACCATCTTCTATAATCCTTTCTTTCCAGAAACTCAAAACTAAACAAAACAGACTGCAAAAAAATAAGTATTGTAATCTCAAATAGACAAGAATATGTACATAAGACATCAGTAATCACTAAAAGTAGAAAAAAAATTAACCAAAAACAGTGATTTCTTAAAAAGTTTTATCTTAACTTAATGAGATACAACTTGTTCTGTTGTGCTAACATGTTTTCTAATTGTTTACAGTAATTAACTGCAATTTCCTTAAGAGAGAAAACTTAATTAAAAATAAACTTTCTAAATTGTATTCACATCTATGGATTTATTGCTTTTTCTTCTTTCTCTACAGAGACAATTATTGTCTCTTTAGTAGTGGTACAGTCTCATTATCTATAACAGTAAAATAACAGTATTGAAATATGGTCATGCATCCTTAATGTGGTGCATTACAATAAAGAAAAAGAAATATAAATTTGCAGTTCTCAAAATATGCTTTCAGACCCTTAGAATCTGTAATTTCTTAAAATTTGAAAGCTACAACTAGAGTAACAGTGGCTTGTAAAAACCTCTCCCCTTGGAGGCCTATGCACATGCATTTATTCTTAATGGTTAGCTCTGGGCTGACTATGCATATTTAAAATAAACTGCAACATCTGCTGCAAAAATCAATCTTGGAGGCTATAATATTCTATAAATAATATGTCACTAATAAAATATACTAGAAAGTAACCATTGGTTGAAAAATACCACTTACTTTTGGTAGAAGAAAAATGAAGATCATCTATTGGAGCTGACATATAACCATGAGAAGCACCTTTATTAATCCTTGCCTGCCGCAGGGTTGTCAGGGATTCTAACAATTGTTGCATGCGAGAGGCCTCTGTCTGCTTCTGCCGGACCTCTCCTAATATACTATCTGCTTCTAATTCAACAGCTTTTTCCTGTAGGTTTTGAAAATTGATACTTCTACCAGTACTATATAGATTCTTAAAATTATTTCTCTTAAACACCAACTAAATATATAAATTCAATTACACTGAAATATCATTTTTACTCAATAGAATAGTAAGAGATCTATTAGAACAATCAGGAACAAGGAATATTCAGGAAACCATTGTACAAATAAAGCAATAAAAACAATATTCTTCATATTTTTTCCCCAATCACTAACCCTTCTTTTTTCTTTTTCTTGTTCCTCAAGTTTCTCCCTCCAAATATCAATCTTTTCCTCTTCTCTCTGCCATGCCAGTTTCAATTCTTCTTTGTCACGTTTCATCCTCTCCTTTTGTTTCTTGATCTTTTTTCTTTTGTTTCTTCTGCGGCTTATCAACTGCCTCACTGAGCTGATGAATTCCTTATCTAGGAAATGGCTTTCTATTTTGAGCAACTTTTCCTTATTACAAAAAATGTATCATTAGTCCTACATTAGTCAAAATGAAAACTGAAAAGAAAATCAAAAGAAAGGACAATAAATATACAATCTGTCCATCCCATTTACAATGACTAATTGGATATATTAACCATATGTTTTCTGTATGTAGAATAATAAAAAAGACTGAAAAGCTTTCAGAATGCAATCTGTTAAGCCTTTTATATGACCTATATATAGTGTACTGAAAAATGTATCAAATCTACCTTAATATCCTCAGCTTCCAGAACTAAATTATTCCACATATGATCGTCTGCTATGTCACAGCTCTGTCTCATCTCATCTCGAAGTTCCTCTAATCTTTGAGTTAAAGTCCTGAATTTCTTGATCATCTCCTGTACATCTGAGAGCTGAAAGTACAGAATAAATAAATAAAAATTATAAATGTACCAAGACACAGCTGTCTTTCCTATTCTGCCCTGGTACTTTGAATCTAATTGAAGTATCTTTCATTATCACAATTCTCTTTCTTTTATCTTATCCATTCATGCTTCATCTCTTAGTTTTGTTTGCTTAATAATGTTCACCAGAAAATATCTTTCTCAATGTTTTTGTTTATTTACTTTAAAGGAAAGTTTGTTTTGAAATGTATGTAGTTCCTTGACAAATAATTCAAACATAAGCTATTCTATTTTTGCTGTGCGCATCTGAAAGTCCTTGGACTGTCTAAAGGCCCATCCACACAAACAAATACTGTCTACTGTTCAAGCTAAATTGACTGACAACAGAGCGCCTGTAACATTGGTTTGAGTAAAATCCCCAGATAAACCTGGCAGTCTGACAATTTGCTTTTGTAATCATTATACAAAAGTCAAATCTTTCTGGCTGGGCCTGTGCTATGCACTGCCAGCCCACCCGCTTCCTCCCTACAGCGAGTCATGATGTGTATAAACGTAATACACCAATAAGTCATGACAGCTATATGCGTACCTGTCAATAAAAGGTTAAATATACACATAAAGCTGAAATTAAGGAGAAAGAAGGAAAGAAGGCAAAGAAGAAAAAAAGATCATCAACTCCATTTTCACTTTCAGGACCTCTTTTCTACCTAGCAGTTTATATATCTACTGAATTTGCAAAGTTATCTTATTTATTCTATTGATTACGGAACATTATCTATCACATCAACAACAAAGGTTATTACTAATTTGACAGTGTTGAAACTATTAAAAGTTTCTGAAGTTGTTATTTACTTGCTCATGCTTCTTTTTGTCAGTCAGTGATATTGTTATATTCTTATGACTTATTACTGCATTCATTTTGCTGTGGTCAGGGATTTTATAAAATGCGCATACCATGAAAACCAATGCTGATCATCTAATATTTTTTAATAACAGAACCCTGAGCTACTGATCTATTTCAGAATTTTCTTCCTCTTGATCACAGGCTCTTTCTTCTCTTGTTAATATACTGTTAATCCTTTCACTGTGTCATCAAATCTAATAATCTTTTTTGTAATACTGTCAGTTATCGACAATGCAAGAAAAAATATATTTACTGTCTGCATTACAGTTATATGCTTTTTACATGAACATTGTAGTTGCTTTAATTTTGCAATGCAGAGATATTTCATATTTCCCTTCTTGCAATTTCTTTCATTAGAATAGGGTAATTCCACTTTCCAAAATCGATTATATCAAATGGTTGTGCAATTGTATCCAGTTATCAGAGCAAAAGTTTTTACTCTTCCTCACTTCATGTGTATATACTTTTCACAATCATTAACAACATTTTACTTAATATCTTTTCAATTATCAATAGTTCCTTATCAATTGTGGTGAAAAAAGTTTTCCTATGCCTGCTAAAGAAAACGTAATCATAGTGGTATTGTTTCTTTTTATGTAGACAATTTTTCATTTGTTCTGATTTTTTGTTGGTCATAATTACTGTTATGTTTCATTTTGTCATTTGAATTGGTAAAACTATGTGTGGAAAGAATTTGAGAGTATATGAAACAATAAGCTTTATAGAAAGCCCTGAACTATAAAGTGGATAACCATTTAACTCAATCATGCTGGGATGACTTCATAATAAGTCATAGATCACTTCTCACACTGGGATGACATTGTGTCATGCACAGTTGAGCCTGCTCTAAGTTGTGCACACTAAACAGTTATGTGCTCTTTTGGCCCTGGTTGTATTTGTTGAGGGGGAAAAAAAACTTAAATAATGGCTGAAAGCCACTTTTTTGCTTAATTATCTTAAATGTGTTGCAAACAAGAGCATAAAGAGAGGGGTGGTAGTTTTATGCTTCCCATGGTTCTAATCTTCCCCTTGATGGGAAGAATCCACAAGCATCCTGATGTGTTGTTTGGTATGGCATTTGTAATTGGGTTTTATAACAGCAACTCAACCAACGTATCAAATGATCATTATCCTCATTTCTGTGAGTCCCCATGCAATACACATCAAACTGAATGCACATAACCTTCTGCCTTAAACGAGTCCTGAATTGGAGATCTCTGATGAACTTCACAAATTTTGTGTTCCCTTACAAATCTTTAAGTAGAAGCAACTGTTTAAATTTACTGCAAATCCTGAAGTCCTTTCATGAGGTTTGAGGTTCCTCAATAATACAAGCCTTAAATTTCTTTAAGAAAAAAGCAGTAACAACTGTAATTCAATTAATTAGATAATAAGTACATTGTCTGAATGTCCCTTTTGCAGTGTAACTTATCTGCATGAAATATTCACTTCCATGTTATGTCAAATATGTCTAAATATGAATATTTATACTTGCTGTTTTTCTATTTACCTACATATAATGTCAGTGAACCATTTCACCAAATATCTAGTAAAATCATATCTATTATTGTTAAAGTGGCCTAGACCTTACAGCTCATGCTAGTATCTTAAAAAATCTAAATTCAAAGACTGTCTACTTAGTGCAAAGTAAAATCCAGGATACTTATCAAAATCATAGTAATTGCAGATTACTTTATTAAATTGCTGTGGTAAATATCTACTTGCTACATGAGACATAATGAGAAAGAACAAGAAAGGAAAATGCAAGAAAAAGGAAAGACAAAGGAAGGAAAAATACCATAGATAAAAAAAAGGATGAGGCCAAGTACATCAAAGCCCTCGAATATTCACCTTAACAGAATTGGTTGGTAGGTTCTTCTTGGCTGGCTGTACTTGGCATCTTTGCAAGATTCTTTGCTCAAAGTTGTTTATCCACTTCTGGTCTTCATCTAACCCATCAGTTTCTTCTTCAAAAATGGTTTGATAAGTAGATGATTCTGTGTTACTAGAACTGGGTGATGGGCCACCATGCCAAGAGGTGTTGTGACATTTACTGTAATACTGCTGGCTAGAGATACTTGCATGACCTTGGTATGTACTAGGAATAGGTGGATGCACAGAGGAGGATGGTGGAGGCTGGATGAAGTCATTTACAGTGAAATGTTCTCCTTGGAATGTTCTCTTTGGTGGGTTATGATGGAGATGAGGTGGCAGATGACTACTCTGTGTACTGCCATTTCCATCATCAGTTGATTGTAGATGTACTGGCAGCTGCTCATGGTCTTGTGGAATGTTGCTGAAGCTGTCAAACTGAACATTACTATGTTCTAATTGTGGTGAGGATCCTAATGGCATCTGTGTTCCTAGGGGGGGTGGTGCTCCTCTTGGTGGAGGTGGAGTGCTAAACCCTAAAGGTGGTGGTTCTCTATTCAAACCAAAAGGTGGTGGTCCCCTGCTGAGTGGTGCAGGAGGCCCCCTGTTAAATCCTATGTATGGTTGTGGTCCAGCCATTTCCATCGGTGGTGGTCCTTTGTTAAAATACATGGGCAGGGGCCCTTGACCCATTGGTGGAGGACCTCTGTTGAATCCTACAGGTGCAGGAACTCTATTCATTCCATCATTCAGCTCTATAGGTGATGGGGCCCCATTTGTGACCACTGGTGGAGGAACTCTACTTGTATCCATGCTAGTGATGTCAGGTTATGATAAAATCTAAAGCTGTGTTAATAATTTATAGTGAATGGATTGTAAGGACAAAATGAATCAAACCTATAGATTGATCCCCATTAGGACTAAATTAGAAGTTTAAACAAGATAGAAGCTACAATTCAGGCAGTTGTTCTTTGTATAATTTTCTATCTTTTCTTCTATTCACTCTTACACCTATTTGTAAGTAATAGTTTAAAAAGAAATATCAAGAAATGGGCCCCTCTGATTATTTCCAAAATCAGAAAAAATTAGTAACACAATGCACCTTTTCAAAGAAAAACAGCTTGTAATGTTTGTTAAGTCCAATAACAGAGAAATGAGAGTCAGATTAATGTTTTACACTTGGCTTTAAACAAACTGTAATCCAAGAATGTGAAAAATTAACACAATCACAGTTTTAAGGCGACGAAGCATCACATAGGCAATCAGTCTTACGATATCAGGCCCAAGTTTTAAGTATTATATCACATCTATGTTTAGGAAAGGGATTTCATTAGCACACACTTTAGCTCTGAAAATAAATGCCCAATATTTATTTTCACTATTTCAATTATCAAATTTTCAATCAACATCTGCTAATACTCTTTTATTCAATCTTTCTTTTTCTTTCACTTTGAAACAGAATTAAAATAAATTTCACTGAGTGTGGAATGAGTCCAAATTCAGATGTAGCATGCATGTGCAGATAACGATAAGGACTGATTTAGGCTGTAATATGAGAGGCACTTTCTTCAATGACAGCCTTGGCTGCAAGATACTCTTCTGCTTCTTCCAATTCAGTCTGTAAGTAGATGAGAAAGCAATTCAAAATAATAAAATGATGTGCTGCTGATGTCTCATATATTCAGTTAAAATGTATTACTTTCTTACAACTTCAATGCTTCATGAAAAAATAAAGTAATAAAGAGAATTAAAAGGGGTAACACAGAAATCCCTTGACACTATGACAACACCCATACAATTCTTCTCCCCTTGCCAAAATAAATGGTCAGTCAAGTTACCTCTGTTTCCACAAGGGTTTTCAGATCATGGTAGGCGGCATTGAGGCGTTTCTGGGTATCAGGAATAACATTCTGTGTTTCCTGCAGCAGCTGGTCTTGCTTTTTGATGTAGTAAACTTCTTGACCTGGAAAAAAAAAATGTGCAACATTAAATTTTCCTATCACAAATAAAAACAAGAATTCTAGAATATTTATATATTCAAACCATAACATCATCATTCACATATCTATTATCCAATCATCCATAAAAAAATACTACACATTGTCATACAATGCACACACGCACAGCAATGCATCCATGCACATACATCCCCCCCCCCACACACACACACTTTCTTTGTCAAATTACCTTCCTCTTGCATCTTCCTGATCTTCTCTTGGATCTGCTCAGCCTCCTTCTCGTAACTGATCTTCTCTTTATAAGTGCGTTTGAGAATTCCAGTCTTGATGCGGAGCTGCTTGATACGGGGATCGGCCATGGTAGTGGAGGTAGTTTAGGGAGTTGGAAGAGGATCTGACTGTTGGGGAAAAGCATAAATCATAAATTCATATTCTTAAATACTTCATAATCTATACATATCAAAAGTGTAAGAAACTGACTAGGCATACAACTAGTTTTGGTATACTATTTGCCATGATCTACTGGTAGCCTATTTTTC